CAGACATCAAATTCTTCTTGTTTTCCTTCCCTCAGTGCTGGACCAAGCGGCTCTGGTTCCTTTCAGAGAAGAATTGTATTTAGAACCTAGATCTTGGTTTCTGTGAGATCTCATTGCTGTTGGGGTATCTCTGTTCCCAGGCCCTCCCAGTGGACAGAATTAGGGAATATAAAGTATATATATATACTGATATACCGCACACACACACACATACACACACACACCCCTAAATCTAGATTCACTTCTTTACCATTTATGTGTGTGTGTAGAAAACCATGAGTTTGCACCTATACTTATTCTTATTAAACACCGGTTTCATGCTACGTTCCCCCTCTTCTCTAATAGTGAGAAATCTGATTCCCATTATTTTCAACATGTTTATTACTTAGTTGCTCCCCTCCCTCCCCCCGTCTCCTGTTGCTGCTCCATGTGGGTGCCTCCCTCGCCTCACTTGGGCTCTGACCCTCCTGCCTTCCCTTCTTACCTTATGGATGGCCCCTCATCTCACATGGGTTCTGATTCAGCATTGGGCTCTACCACCCACACCTTAGGCATGAATTTTTATGTGTCTTGCCCCATCTTTTGGATCGAATTGAATTATTCAGAAAGGAAGGAAGGAAAGTAGATTATTTCAGGTTATATACTGGAAAGTATATGAAGTTATAGAAATAACTTGAGACTTAGGACTGATGAGATTTAATCTAAGACCTGTTCCTCCAGAGAAATGTTATGTTTACTTCTACAGGTTTTGGTGTGACAGAATAAAAGGACAATATTATTTCTTCCTGGCCTGAATTTACTGAGCAGTAACTTCTTTAGTAAAATAAGGGGTCACTCTAAATGAGTCTATTCAGGAATTTAATTAAGCTCCTTTTGAGCCAATTATTATCATAGCTTTTGCTACCTTTAAGGTTACTAGGAAATCTTAATACTATTTCTGCATCAAGACATGGTCGTATAACAAGTGTTCTATGATTCCATTCAGATCAAAGTCAAGAATAAGGACATTTACAGAGACAGAAAGATTCGTGGTTGCTTAGGTTGAGGGGGGATAGGCATGTAAGGGGTGATAGCTAAAGTGTATAGGTTTCTTTTTGAGGTCATAAAAATGTTCTAGCATTGTGCTAATGTTTGTGCATACTAGTGCATATACGAAAATCTGTTGAATTGTAAACTTCAAATGGGTGAATTGTATCCCAGTAAAACTGTTCAAAACTTTTATAAAAATAAGGACATTCATTAGTAAATTTGAGTCAATATGGAAACCTTGATGGAACTGGAGGCAACAGCACAACTTTTCAATGAAATAGGTGGGTAGTAGTCACAAAGCAAAGAATCAGTAGAGCCATTCCATCTTGCAGATTTCCTGTTAATGGCTGTATAAGTTTCTGGCTGTGTAATCTTGGGCAAAGTACCTGAATTTCCCTAAGCCCAGGTTTCTTCATCTGGGAAGGGGGCATTTAGAATCTGTTGAGAACGAGAATGCCTGTGGGCTCATAGTACGGCTCATGGCACATGCAGCCACTACTTAGTGGTCTTTTGCTAGGAGACATGGAACAGCATAAAACAAGTCGCTCTGATTCGATGCCATGTTTTCCCAAATTGTTCTTTCTTTTGTCTCTGCCCGTCTGTAATGTCTGGCTGGGTTCTCTTGCGTCTTTTGGGAGCTGTGGATGGTAACAGCGGATAGGTTGAGCCTGAGTGGCAGAGAGTTGGCTCTTAAGTCTTCTGGAAGTATGAGTCTCAGCAAAGTCAAGGGAGCCTCTGGGGCAGGTCAATTTAAAGTCTATAGGATTAAAAGGTACCAAGAGAGATCTTAAAGATACAGTTATGACCATTGATTTGAAGTAGAGGACATTTATATCCTTCCTAATCTAGAGAGCCCGAAGTGGACTTTAAAACCTTTCCAGTATAACAGAATATTTAGACTAGCTTTGCCCAAATGACTCATTTGTGCCGACCTTCCCCACTCCCAACTCTTTCTTTTCCTTCTGCTGCAAAGCCCACTTCTCTTCTTAGATGGGCTCTAATACTCCCTCCCTTAAAGGGTTCCCCACAGGTGCTAGCCTGCACCTGTACTGGAATGTGACAAGTCCTTTTATGATCTATAGTTCACAATGTGGCATGTTTTCCCACTTGTTTGGGTAATCATTCCTTGTGTTTACCAGGAGCAAATAGATTAGGTGTTGTTTCTCTCATTATCTCCCCATTCCTTCCGTCTACCTCTTCCCATGCCCCATTCCTGTTCTAACTGCAGCTAACATGGTGTCAGGTATCAAGTAGCAAGTGATCTTCATTAGCAAGGATGTAACTAAAGATCTGGAAGTGAGTCAATGTCTTCTTTAGTGCGGTTTTCTTTTGGCCTGTATCTTTGGATATGTTTTTAATACCTGACATATCTCTAAGAGGAATAGGCTTGTGTTATAAATGAATGCAGACCAGATTTGCTGCAACAGGAGGGCATGTGTCCCCTACAAAGAGGGAATCTGTTGCTGCAGCTGATTGCTGGCCAAAGACACGTGGGCTCATCACCGTCAAATCAGACTTGTCTTGAAAAATTTGAAATGCAGACTTCTTAAAATGCCGGTCACTAATTCTAAAATGTTAACATTGACAGGATAGTATGGGGGAATCAACAGAGAGGAGAGGACAAGAATCAAGAACAGATCCGTGTTTGTGGAAAACTAATAGATAATAATAGTGAGGCCACAGTCAGGAAAATTGTTTCATAATCTGGAGAAAAGCAAAACTGGACCCCCTGCCTTATACCAGATGTGAAAGTAGGCTGCAGATGGATAATGCCTAAGTGTGAAGGGTAAGCTATATAGGAGGCCCTCTTTGTAGCCTGGGAGTAGGGAAGGCTATTTTAACCAGACCTTCAAAACAGACTGTACGTCAAAAGAGCAGTGGATCTGACCGCATTCAGATGGAGTGTTTATAGTAAAGACAAGACACCATGGGCAAAGTTAACAGCAGATGACAGACTGGGAGAAGATACCGATAAGGTCTAAATGAATATCGAGCAAAATAAAGGAGCCTGTGTGAATCAACAAGAAAGAGAGAAACCAGAAAAATGACCAGGAAAATGAGCAAAGTCTATGAACAGGAAATTTCCTGAAGATGAGAACTCAGTGGTTAGTAAGATTTTCAAGGAGAGCCTACTTTCCTAGTGGGAACCCCTGAGCAGTCCCAGTGAGACTGTAAGTCTGCTCAGCCATTCTGGAGTAGTACCTGGCAGCACTTCATGTGATCAGATTTGTGTATAACTTTGAATAATTCCATTCCTGGGTGTGTAGTCAAATTCCTGCACAGATCCATCCCTCTGAGTTTATGCCATTTATCCCCGTGTAATTATGAAGTGGTTGTTACTCATTCTGTCCTGACTTGGATGAGGTACTGACGACTAACCAGTAGGGGGCGTTGTTACTGTGGCGCTTACAGTAGCAGGTGCGGGAGGCAACTCATGCTCGGGGCTAAGTGAACAGAGTAAAATGTGGTTGGTTTAGCGTATCACCCACGGTGTGGCGGTGAGAAGCAGTAGGCTAGGTATACAGAGACGGGAGGAGAAAAAATGTGGTTTTCCAAGCAAAAGACATCTGTAGGTTGAATTAGTGCATGGAGGTTTTCCCTTGGATTTTTTTTTTAAAGGCAATTTTTAAAGAGCAGTTTCAGGTTCACAGCAAAAGTGAGCAGAAGGTACAGAGATTTCCCGTACGCCCTCTCCCATGCATAGTCTCTCCCATGGTCAGCATCCCGCACAAGATGGTACATCTGTTATAGTTGGTGAATCTATACTGGCACATCGTTACCACCCAAAGTCCATAGTTTACTTTGGGATTCAGTCTTGATGTTGTACATTCTGTGGGTTTGGACAAATGCATAACAACATATGTCCATCATTAGAGTGTCATATAGAGAATGATACTGCCCCCCAAATAGGCTGTATTGCTCCTATTCATCCCTCCCTTCCTCATAACCCACCTGGGGTTTTTTTTTTAGTGGAAGTCCATTGCAAGGGTGCATTAAAATTTACACAGACATCCGTACTTGGGAGCAGGACCATTTCCCATCGTGCGTGGGGTTTCTGTAGTTGTCAAGAGATCTGATCTTAGTCCTCAATCACTTTAGACTCCAGCTGTCAGAGGGAATGGTCTCTGATGTCCTATCCTTTCATGACTTGGAGAAGAACCTCTTTCATGCAAGAAGAGGGATACTTAATAGTTCAAGCTACCTTAAACCGCCAGCATCAAGCACACGCCACTTAATTCTCAGAAGTCTTCCCTCTTCCTTCCCTCAGCCATCCCAGGTTACCCCCCAGACTTCACTGGGCTCTATGTCCTGCTGGCCAAGAGCTAAAATGGAATAGACTTCTGTCTGAGTGCATTTCTGGCCCATGAATCAGTTGAGACTTCACCTCGGTATCTTACATACAGAACAGGCGAACGGCTCTGCAACCAAAGTGCTCCTGGGGAAACCCATGGGAGCTTTGTGTCACATTCTCCATCCTGGTGCGTGTGGTGCTGCCAGCATCCTGCCAGTGTTCCAGCCAGAACCCCAAAGAAAGTCTTCAAAATGCTGGTTGGAGATGATGCAGAGTCTTGTCTGTCAAGTTAGCACCTTTGTGATCAGCAGATGGGATAGCAAAGTAAAGACACAGCACCTGCTGAAACAGCTGCTGTAATCACGTGGAGGGTATTTCTCCCTTCCCTCCCCCATTCCCAGAGAAACTGCCCCATTAAGGTTAGAGCAGGGGATTGACTGTTCTGTGCACAGAGTACATGTGGTTTGGCAAAGATGAACTACCCAGACCATCTCTGTGTGACCCAAGTGCCAGGTGGGATGTGTGTCATTCTCTCTCTTCTCATCTTGACGTTTGGATGTTTTCGCTGGCTTTCTCCTCTCCTGCGTCTGGCACTTCCTGGGCTGTGGGCATGAAGAGGTTACAGCAGCCGGGAGCCTGCTAGGCTGAGTTAGCACTTCCCGCTGCATCCAGAAGATCTCCAAGTAACATCCCTTCTGCATCATGGAAAAGGGGTGGCGGTGCGGGCTGGGGGGCCGGCTGCAGTAGGCTGGATCAGGGGCTCTTTAACCATGTCCCATTCCCCTCCCCAGAGGCCAGCGAGGAGGGGGACGCAGGACGCGGAAGGCATCCGGAGTGAAGGATGAACCAGGGACGCCTCGGCGGGGAGCTGCAGTGCCGCCGCTGCACCTGGCCGCCGGGACGCCGGGGGAGCACCCAGGCGGTGGGGCCGCGGGCCTGCGGGCCGCTCCCGGGAGCCTGGGGCAGCCTCACCCCCGCCCTGCTCCCCGCGAGGCGGCGCAGGGAGCCTGGCAGCCTTTCCTGCAGCTGGCACTGGGTCGCGGCTGGGGCCTGAGCAGCGCAGTGGACTCCGTCCTTCCAGGTGCCCCCGGGAAGGCAGAGTGGGGGACCAAGTGCCAGTCACCCCTCCCAGACAAGAGGAAACAACTCCTGTTGGGTAGAACTTTGGTTTCCTTTAGCAAGATCCGCCGAACCATACAGGGTTTCATTTTTCACTTGATGGGTCTTTGAGAAAAACTGCACCGAGCTGGTGGGAGGAGGAAGATAAACTATAAACTTTGGGGGCGGGGACATTTTCTTGGAAGTGACAGGGAGCCTCAGACCTACAGTTTCTGGACCAGCGACATTGCCCTCCGCTTGGACACTGAAGGGTCTGGACGCTGCCCCGGGACCAGCACCAAAGACCCCAGGAAGGCCATGGAGTCCACGCTGGCGACACCGGGCTCTGCCCCCGGCCCAGTCACCTTCTCCCACGTCTTCGGACAGCAGTGCCAACTTATGGAAGCCGGTAGGAAGGGTGTCCTGTGGGGAGTGGGGTGATGTCCACGGTCACCAGTAGTGAAGACCTCCGTGCGTCTGTGTGTCTGTCGGCCCCATCTTTCCCTTGATGTGAATTTGGGATTCGACCTGGCGCACTCACTCGAGAGTTCTTAGGACGTGTCATGAGACTGACTGTATGGCTTGGGCGTGGGGCAGGAGGGCCATCTGTCTCCACGTTGCTTTCCTCTGTGGCTCCCCTGGGGGGTGAAGGGGGTGCGTCAGGTGGTGGCTCTGGCTGTCTTTTGCGGGCAGGTGCCAGACTCGGACTAGCTGTCCTTCTGCCAGCTTGCGTCTGTCTGCCGCTGACAGTGGTGCGGAGGCCAGGCCTCGGTGGGCACCGTTGGAGTGGCTCAGATGCTGAGGATCGTGTGTGCCCTGAGCAGCCTCTCCCAGCTCTCGGCTCTGCTGTGGGGATTCCTCATCAGCCTTTGCTCATGGCTTTGTCTTCCAAAAGGCTCACGTTTTCTAGTGGAGGGGGCACTTGCTGTGGGCTGCAGCCTTGCTCTGCACCAGCCATCTTGCTAGTTTGCACGTGGGGTCACACGGGAAACCAGGAGTGTGAGTGGCTTGGTGCAGATGGCCACTGTGGTGGGAACGCAGACTGGTGCTTACGATCATGTCGGAGTCACACAGGACTCTGCTGGCCTCATGTCACGGCTGTTTCCCTGCTTTCTCGGAGTTCATTCCTGCTGGGAAAAGGGCCACGTGTTCTCCAGGGCTTTCCTGGGTGTTAAAGTGTTATTGGGCATTTTGGCTGTGAGTTTGGCAGATGGTGAGAAGCGTGCTCGGTTTGGAGCCTGGCGGCTTGAGCTGGTGCTGACGTTTCCATTGGGTGGTTGCATGACTGGAAAGTGTAGACCCCACCCCTCTCCCTGGGGTATCCATCTTGAGCTGCAGGACAGGAGTACTGGACTTGGTCCACCTAGGTCTTAGACTCTGTGAGCCCAGAGGAGCCCCGTACAGCAGAGAAGACAAACTTGAGCTGGTTTCTAAGGCCCTAAGGCCGGGATGTGTCCTCAGAGGTAGTGGCTTGTGGAGTGGTGAAGGAGGATTCTATAGCTGGACTGTCAGGTGTCCCAGCTTCACCTGTTGCAAGTTGTGTGACCTCAGGCAAATTACTTAGTTTCTCTGTGCCTCAATTTCCTCATCTGTAAAATGGGGATACTAGGTGCTGCTACACACGGCCATTGCAGTGATTAAATAAATTAGCACATGGCAGGACTTAGAATAGTGCCTGGCGCCCAGCCAGCACCATGAATGCCAGGTATTCATTACTATTTCTAGGGGCTGTGGGGGACACTGTGCAAGCATCCCTCCATCAGCCAGTCGTGGCATCTCTGTAGAGTAGTACAGCTACCTCATTTTCTAGAAGACCAAATCAGTTAACACCCTCCTCTCTGCCACAGTTGGACTCTGGTTTGTGAAGAAGGTTGAGAATTTCCCTAATGACTTAGGTGCCTTTACTTCTGCAGGAGAAGGAGGGCTTAGGGGCTTGCAGGGACCAAGGTTTCACCCATCTTTCTGCTTCTCTGAAGTTGCCACGGGAAGGCAGATTGGATTTCTAAGGTGCCTCGGTGCTTTGTTCTTTAAGCTTTTGGAGGAACCCAGGCCTAAATCAGGCTATGAAATCCCATGTGTCTATTAAAAAAGTCCATGATGGCAAGAGAGCAATGCAACATGGAGCAATAATGATCAGCAGTCTGAAAGGAGCACCTCTCCCTGAAGAAATGTGCAGAGGAAGAGTTGGCCTCTCAGTCAGTTAGGAGGTGAACGGGATTGAGAGCAGACATGCACACATCTCCGGCCAGCCATTTGTAGCCCTGTTGGCACCACAAATGAGATCTTAAATGGGTGTGAATACGATACATGGCTCCAGGGGCTCACAGCAGTGTTAATCACATGTCCTGAGTCAGAGGTAGCTATCAATCACAGGTGTTCATTGAGCACCTACTATGTGCTTTCTCTGCACAGTGCCAAGAACCACAGAGTCTGAAGGGAAAGCCATGGTCTTTATTCAAGGGGATAATGATGTAGGTAGTGGTATACATAGAACATTGAGGAAAATAGAATTATGCAGTATGTGGCTTTTAATGATTCCATCTTTTGAATCACCCTTCTTAAATGTTTTATATAAATCATCTTATTTAATTTTCAAAAACCCTAACCAATTTATATAGGCAAGGGAAACACACAGAGGTTTATGCACCTGGGAAGTAGGAAAAGGGGAAGGCGAACCCTGGTCAGATGCTCAAGCCGTGCCTTTAATCTCTCAAGCCTGTGGTGCCTGGTGATGACTTGGGTTAACTTTTTGTATCTGTGAGTGTCTCATGTCTTAAGAGAAGTTGATGCCTGAGAGATGGAGCAGTCAAGGATGTGTAGTGGGGTGGACATGGGGGCATAAGGGCATATTGAGTTTAGGAGGGTAGGGATGGACCCTGGCAGCAATGGTGTAATTGGGCATGGGCGGGGCCAATGAGAGCTCTGACCCAATTGGAGTGAGATTGTGAAGGGCCGGTGGAGCCCTGGAAAGAACATGGAATTCTTTCTCATCCATTTCCATTTCAGCTGTTTGCTGGTTTTGGGAGCTTGATAAACCCACAAACCTTAGAGCAGAGGTTGTCCCACTATGGCCCTCAAACCAAATGTGGCCCACTGCTTGCTCTTGTAAATAAAGTTTTATTGGTACACAGCCACACCATTCACATACATTTTATCTGTGGCTTCTTTTGTGCTACAACAGTAGAGTTGAATGGCTGTGACCAAGGCAATGTGGCCTGCAAAGCTGGAAATATATCTTGTCTTGAACTTTGCAGAAAAAAGCATGCTGATTCCTGCCCTGGACCAACATATGTAGCACAGATGGGGGTAGACAGAATTCATGAGGGGCGGTGAGAAAGGGCTCAAGCCTGAGAGTTTGGCTGTGTCTGATTCTTCCTTGGCTGGCACCTTTTATGTAGAATGGTGCCTTGGTTTTATCATGGCTCTCCGACCCCCAACACACACACATACACACACAGTGGGGGTTGCTTCAGGTAGGAGGCATTTGGAGTAGATCTGAATGCTCCAATAAGAATGGACTTCCCACTGAGTGCCCGGATCTATAGCACCTGAGCTGGGCAAGATCACATCTACTGCCGTCTCGTGGCCACCCTGCAGGTGGAGGGCGCCTGTTCCATTTAACAAGTAAAGTTTAGCTGTTGGTGGGGTTGGGACTTAAACCTCAGTCAGCCCAATCCCACAGCCGGTACTCAGAATGGCAATTCTGCAGCTTCTGTGGAGGGTTTGGAGATCTCTGCAGAGATGGGCAGAACAGACTCAGGCTGGTGGACTGCTGGGCTCAGTGTTGCTGAGTATCTCTTCTTGTCTGTTTCTTCCTTGACCCCAGAATGATTCACGGGGATGTCCCTCTGACCTGGCATGTGGCCATGTCTCTGCTGAGGGTTCTTGATTTACCCCTTGGCCTGACTGTTGGGTAGGGGACCTCATCTTGCAGGCCATGGCCCCTGGGTACTGTATCTCTTACCCCAGGTTCTGACTCGACAAACTGCCCCTTGTGTCATTCTAGGCAGTTTCCAACCCATCTCATTTGGGAGAGAAGCATTTATTTCCACAGGGTTACTTTGCTGTGAATGTTTGGCTGATATGGCATGAATCTAGGCCCAGCTCAAGGTGGAGGGTGGGAGAGAGGAGAGGACAGGAAGGTGACAAGCCCTTAGCACATGGACTGCTGTTTTGTACACTTCTAGGGGCAGCTCGGAAACCATGCACAGGTTCCTCACTTCCACTGTCAGCTGTGGGTCAGTCTGTAGCTCCATGCGTGTTTGCTGAATGAGTGGGAACTGTAGCAACAAATTGCTGAAGATGCTGTCCACCCTCAGCTTCAAGGGGGAGTGACCTAGGTCTTCTGTGTTTCCACAATAGTATTCATAACGTGTTGTGTTGTGCTGTGATTCCTGAGGTCGGGGACTATCATCTTGGTCATCTGTGAGTCCTGCAAACCGTGTATGGGGTTGGTGACATTGCAGTTTTCATCTGTAAGTAGGACATTGACGCATCTGTTTTATACCACGTCATTTGTCCTTTTGCAGGCTGTCATCCTCATGAGAAGCTGTCAACACAATAAAACAGTGTTAGTGGAATCTGGCAAAGCAGAATTGTGGTCACGCTCATTCTCTTTCCCAAGACTAATTCTTCGTAGCTCTCAAGTCAGCATGTGGAATCAAGGGCAGTGGGAAAACAATTTATCCCAATAGTCCTTTGGGTGGATCAAATGGAATCCTCTTAACTCCAGGCGCTCAAAGCGAAAGAGGTCTACCTGTGGGCATAATGGCCTAAGTGGTGGGTGCTGGCAGGGTTCCCTCAGCAACCTGGAGATCTCCTTAGGAGGCAGGTGTCGTCAGTAACACACCTGGACCATACGTTGACCTCAGGAAGTTCCCACTGATGGTGCCTGTTTGAGGGAAAGGCAATAGGGAGACATTGGGTGCTTACAGTGTTGGCATGTGTGCATTTGGCTGGTGAGCAGCCCAGGCTTCCTGCAGGTCCTTATAGCAGAAGCAGCAGCCAGCCAGTCTCTCACTGACTCACTTCAAATCCCAGTTACTATGTTCGCTGGCTGTGTGACCTTGGGCAAGTACTTTAATGTGTGAATTTTGGGAGGACAAAGGCATTCAGGTCACAGCACCACCACCATGACTACTTCTTATTAGCATATCTGCTCTATTCCTGCCGAGTCAGGCAAAGGTGAGTAACAACAGGAATTAAATGTTCCTTGTGGTCACGTCTTTCTGACCACTAAGAAGTCGCTACTTCTTTCCCTTGGCTAGTTGCTGTGGTTTTAAAAAATCCCAAACTCAACATTTGTTCTTTCCTTGGACCCAGCTTACCTGGGACAGGCCTAGTTCATGTCATTCCCAGTCCCATCTATCTTTCTAAGGCTGTAAGGAATAAACTAGATGAGTCAGACAT